TTCTCAATCTCAGCATGAAACATGGGTAACTTTGATTTTGGAATCCTTTTAATGAAATTATGCACATGACCTGTAGGTTTCTTAWGGTTTTTTCTAATGACATAAATAAGTGAAGGATCCGAGATTGAAGTATTTATAACTCCAGATATGCCATAAATGGAGGATCGATTTGTGAAAATAAGATCCAAAATGGAATCGCATGTCTTGCCAAATCTTGTTGGTACTTTAATTAACTGCTGAAGCCCTAAGTTTATGGACATTGCTTTCAGGCCTTTGGGAGTTTTATCAGCCCAATTCATATTGATTTCACCAAGAATCACAAACTCTTTTGATTTTATGCCTTTTATAATGTCAGTGAGCTGCGCTAAATATTTAGTTGAATTAACACTTGGAGGTTTATATGTAACAACAACCGTTACTGAAAGGTGATTTGTAAGCTTGATTTCCAATTGTAGAAATTCAAACTCAGTTGACAATTCTATTATAGAATGTGAGTATTTCTTGTGAACATAAACTGCAACACCACCTCCAATCAGTACGGTTTCTGCTTCTCTATTTTAGAATACTTAAATATTTTAATTCCATTGAATCAACACAAACAGAAGATAGAGGACGTGACATAACTTGGGTAATAAATGAGCTGTATATCCTTATCAGGAATTGCTCCACCCTGAACCATTCACCCTCCCAAGTTATTAATATATACTTAAACTGTTCTTCCATTTCCATCTTTGAAGGAAGCTGAGCTCACTGTGTCGGAGAGAAAGCCATTTGGTTGTCAGTGTTTGTAAAGGGAACCTTAACTTAGGAACAATTTTAAAAGTTTGAAACAGTTTATTCACCTGCCGGCATTATGTGTACAGGAGCGTGCTCAAAATTTATTGCTATACCCCTCTATGTCCTGGCTCTGGTGTCAGTCATCTGCAACGTAATGCTTTTCTTCCCTGATTTTGACACAAAATATGCAGAGCAAGATCGGAAAGGGGACCAGCGGATTACTGAAGAAGTCAAATATATGGGAGGTGTTATAGGAGGGGGAATCATGGTGAGTAGATTTATTTCATCTTTATCTTCAGCATGTGCATGATGTGTAAAATAAAATATTCTACCTTATGTCCACACATTGTTTTTGAATGGTAAAAAACAGCTTTTAAAGTGGACACTTTCAAAACTTGAAGTTTTGGTGAATCTGTAAAGAATTACACCAAATAATCCAAGGCCACAAAGTTTTTTATCACTTTATTGAAGTGTAAAAACAAGCGTTACAAAAAAAAAAAATACAATGTGCATCAAGCATACATTTAAAATACATACGAAATGGGAATAGCTTTGGTTGAGTGTTAGTTTTCTCTGATTTCAGAAAGGATGTCTATTTAAAAAAGGAAAAGGGAAGCAGAGCATTTAGTATGTGTTTAATTTTTTAGTTCAGCAAGGCTATAGTCATTATAATTACATAGTTATGCATTTTTGTTGCTGTGGTTTTGYTATCTTTGTTTTGTAGATGTGGAGCCGAGAAGTACGGTGTGCTGTCTTGTGTTTTCTCAACATATATTTTACATATCTTCTAATCTCTTTTTCACTCTTTCTCATTGCATTTCACTTTTTTCTTTTTTCTTCTTTTTCTCCTATTAAAAAAAATCATAGTAATGGTGTGGAGAGGGTGGCTATAGGGGGAGAAGGGAGGCCATCAAAGGAAAGAAAAAATAATAATTTTTTTAGTTACACAGAACTCGTACTGAATCATGATATACTGTGACCATTACACCCCTTATAGCCTGAAGGACATATTGAACTTGCAAAGTTGCAGCCTTTAAAATGCTTCAAACTAAGTCGTACATTGACTTCTTCAGCAGCAGTTTTGTTGATTAATTCCATAACAATACTTGTAACACTTTCATGTTTTCCATCAGTCTAATTATTTCCCAGAATCACACAGTACAGAGTTTTGTCTAAACAGTCAAAAAACTTTGATATGGCACAATACCAGATACTGTGTTTGTTACTTTTATGAACTGCAACTCTGAACRGTAAAGATAACTCTGACCTTTGGCAGGTGAAGCTTTTTCTTTCCTTTTTTTACTTTGTCCTGCATTTATAGCTTTTAAAATCACAACTCTATTTGCACATTATTATACCCTGTCCTCTCAAACAAACAAACAAACAACAACATATTATGCTTTTATGCATCTTACATTTTTGTGTTTGTGTTTCTGCCAACAGATTTTGATTCCTGCCATTCACATCCATTTGACTAGTACCAAAGGCTGCTGTGCCAACCGCTGTGGGGTGAGYATGGACACTTTATAGTGGATATTCCCTACTATGTAGGATCATTTTTGCCATACATACTGTATCTACTTGTGGGGACCAACTGGTATAAAAGGGGACCTAAGTCTAGTCCCCATGGGTTGAAATGCCATTGATGGGTTAGGGGTTACGTTTAGGACTATGGTGTGCACTGACTTTAGGTTAGGTTTAGGGTAAGGGGTCAGGGTTAGGCTGTAAAATTTAACGGCGGTTCCCATAAAAATAGATGTACTAGATTGTGTAGTGCTCCAAATCTCCTGTCATCAATACAAAATTTTGGGGGAAAAAGCCACACTGGATAGAAATAAATGTTGTGACATTGCAGAAGCTTGTGGAAACAATGCCACAGCAAATATGTTCCGCAATCAAAGCAAAGTATGATTCAACAAACTGTCGTGTGATCTTCTTTTTTGGACAAGTGTGTGTGTGTGTGTGTGTGTGTGTGTGTGTGTGTGTGTGTG